TGTAGTTGATGGATGTAGGTGGCTTGGAACTGTAGGAGTTTCTTTCTGTCTAGATACGATCCTCTTACCATTTTCTGGCACCAAGCAGCAGTATGTATCCCAGTCTGAAGGACATCGGGAGCCAGGCTGTGATGCATTACATCTTACTCCTCAAAGGTAACATTGCATCTGTAGCCATTGTTTAAGTTCGTTGCAGGTGCCCATGATGCCCATTAGTCACTTATTAGTGGTAAGTTTATTTATCACTTCAATATTATAAAAAATTATGTTGACAAATTAAAATGTGGTAGCCAATAATCTTTATTACAAACTTATATACAGTAGAACGCCGATTATCCGAATTAATTGTGACCGGGGTTGATTCGGATAATCGGACATAGACTGGTATGTAATAAAGAAAAACGAACTGTCACACATAGAATAAACTTTATTAAGTTTATAAATGGTTTTACACTTTATAAAGTTTTATAAAGAGTAAAACCAGCTACACCCATTCTTTCACTGAACATTCGCGCCTTTTCACATAAAATCGATCCTGAAATCGGTTGTCCAATAGATTGTTCCTGCAGAAACCACGTAAAAACAGCATTCTCAAGCTGTTCATCTTTTGCCTTTTTCATTACTTTTCGCGACGAACATCCATCACCACTTTCCAACGCGGTCACAAAACTTAAAATTTTTTCACTGTTGTTTTTAATATCAGTTAACCAAGTATTGTATAAGTAATCTAAGTAATGTTACTTACTGTACTTGGTTATAATTTTTTATATTAAGCTTAGGACCGATTCGGATAATCGGCATTCTACTGTATTTGAATACTATTTCATATTTATGAAGATTTTCATATTTTCAGTTGGATGAGAATGAGGGGCCCATAATTGTCTGTTTCACCTGTCATGCAAGACTCATTCGTTGCGGAAGATTACAACAACAGGCTATTGAGTCAAATGCGGTTCTGGAGCAGTTGCTTTCAGGAGGATCCATGGTATTATCCATTCCATCCAGTAAAACCTATAAAAGTCCACTGCTGAACATAGGTCTCACTCATAGATTGCTTCATAGGAGGGATTTTGCCAAATTCGGCTCGCGAGCCACGTGCGGCTCTTTGGTTGTGAAGCTGCGACTCTTTAGTTTCAATACGCAAATATTATTTTTAAATAGATCCATACTGAGCCATTTGGGGTTGAAACTGGATCTCTAGAAATGCAATTGATCGATTTAAAAAGTAAAGCTTTGTGGAGCTGAAAATTTACAGAGTTGTTAAGGAAGTTGAAAAAGTTGGAGGCCCAGAAATGTATGTACGTAACGCAACAAAAATGAACAGCTTTAAAAGAAAAGAAAGGCTGCAAGTTTAATTATATTTGACGCATGGAATAGTCTTCCAGATTGCTATAGTGAGGTGAAGAAGTTGGCATTTGGAGTGCTGACTATCTTCGGATCGATATATTCGTGCGAGCAAGCCTTCTCTTGCATGAATATAATTAAAAGTAAAGTAAGAAGCCAACTAACAAATGAAAATTCAGATTCGTGTTTGAAACTTAAAACAACAAGTTATGAGCCAAATTTATCCAAACTTTCTAAAACCATGCAAAGCCAAAACTCCCATTGAATTTGTTTGCTCAATTGTTTGTACTTGAAGTATAAGTTAGTGTTGTAAGACTTACAATGTAAATAAACGTTTGTTTTAATTTTTTACTTAAATAATAAGTGATTATCTAATAATACCATATATATATATATATATAAATAAAACGTTGCCGACCCTGTGATAGTGGATATTCTTACACCGTCACTGCACAATCCACTTTTCTATGCTGCTTGCCATTGCTATATGGGAGAATGTTTCTAGTGCAAAGTTAAGTTTGTCCTTCAATCCAACTTACTTTTGTTAGAGCAATAGTACTTATTTTTACAAAAACAATTATCAAACTGTTTATACTGTTATATATTACCCTATTGTATATAAACAAATCTCAATAAACAAAGATAAATCTTTGTCAATTTACAGCTTTCGTGAATCCAAAAGTCCAAAAGTTGTTGAGACTCGATTCTCGGGATAAATGAACTATGTACATTCTTATTTAAGTTTACGCTGAACCCTCACTTTTGTCCGGTGTTTATTATTATTTGAAGTTGTTGTCAGGAAGATGCTGCCCCCCGATCTCCTGTTTCAGTTTCCCTCTGCCCCTTTTTACGACATCTGCGGGATGGCAGGGGTAGTATGGGTTCTCCTACTCCACCACTATAGTGGCATTTTCTCTTATTTGAAAAAATTATTTCCTTTCAGTCAGTACCAAAACCGCATAAGGTTAGAGATGAGATTAAATTCACACCAATTTATCATATAGATATCTGGCCTGTAGAGTGTGATATAGACAATGATTGCAAGGACGAAATTTTTTGCCTTGATGCCGTTAAAGTTGAGATTTTCGAATATGAGAATTCCAAATTTGAAGAAAATGAGAATCATGAAACAGGTAAGATATACCCCTTTTCTTGATATTATTAAAATAAGGTACAAATTACCTTATGGCAAGTGGTTACTGTAGCCCATAGACACAAAATAAAGAGGGCTTCATGTGTAATGTAATGATTTACTGATTTGCCTTTGTCTAAATTCAAAGTGCATGTCAGAAGCACTCTTATTAATACATTAAAAAATATTTTTACCCTGTCAGCTAGTATGTATGTCACTAAGATACATACTGGTAAGCAACCAATTATCTTTGCCATCTTCTTAGTGTCAGTACTAGGTGGTGTGACTGCATGATTGCCTAGGAGTTGATCTATTTGTGCCTGTCCAGACGGACCCCTCACTCCTTCTCTTACCTATTTCTGCCGTCAAATAGCAGTGCGTGCACTGCTGTGTTCCATTCTGATGGGTATAGAGTCAGAATAATCACAGGCTGTGGGTCATTCCATTTTAGTTGTGGTAGAGCCATGCTGCATCTATATTAGTAGTATAGTTATAGCACGAATGGGTCAGCTCGACCGGGGAAAGACCACGCTCTCACAGAATACCAGTGTAAAATAGCAGCTTAACACTGCTGTGTTTCGTATGGTGATTGTAGAGAACCGGATACCCTTTTTACTGGAAAAGAGGCATTCCATCGTAGTCCTCATGGGTGACAATGCATCTGCATTTTGATTCTTTATTGAGGACAGATGTAGATGTCTATGGGTCACAGCGACCATTTACCATCGTGTGGACTGTGTGCTCGTTTGTCACCCTATCCTATAAAAATTAAAATTAAAAGATGAGCGCATTGCATCATTAAATCTTCATCATTACAGCCTTCATAAGTCCACTGCTGAACATAGGTCTCACCCACGGAATGCCACAAAGCACAGGAATCCATCGCCTTCCTGCATTTCCTACCAGGTTATCATTCCATCTAATGGAGGGCCGCCCTACACTTTGTCTACTAGTACGAGGCTGCCACTCGTAAAACTTCTTCATTCATTGTCATTTCTTCGAGCTATATGGCTGGAATTCCAAATTTCAAAGAATTAATTCAGCATTTGAAACCATGATGTTGAAAGTAACTACAACAGAAGTGAGACGACGGGCCCGTGCTTGTGTTAGTAATCGCATCAATTATTTTGAGCATCAACAAATAAATAATTAGAATTTTTATTAGTCTGCCTAAAAATTTAAATTTTCTACCTCAATCTGGTTTTAGGGGACAATTGAAAATTTTTTACAAATGCGTGTAAGTTATACCTCAAATGAAAGAGTAATAACCAAGCATGTTTTCAAAAAGGTTCTAACAATAAATTAAAGTACCATCAGTTTTTTTTTTAACGTTGTGTCAATAATGTTTATTATTTAAAATGTTAATTATGTTTCTTTAAATCGTAGAAAATTTTCGTGAACTTATGTGTCTGTACAAAAATATGTATAGTGATGACACAGATGCTAAAACTATGTTTTCTTAGATTTCTTATTCATTACTCAAATTTAAAAAAAAAAACAGACGTTAATTAAATTGGCAATTATTAGCAATTAACTGTAAAATTTTTAGTTTTCTCACCAAAAACAAAAAGTATAGTCAGACTTTGTCTAAAATAACTATGGCCTAAATGATTTTCTTCAATCAACAAGTCAATCTTCCAATCATTCTGTATAATGCTTGTCCCGTGTGCGATTCGAAGCATCTATTATTAGATTAATGTAGGTAATTGTAACATGGTGAGAAGAACGTCATCATTATCATTCGAATTTAGTTTCTCTACCATTCTTTCCCTCCAAAAATGAATATGAGAGACATTATTAAAAGTAAAATACTTTATATCTAGCAACATTGTATAATTATGTAATTTTATAATTTATTTATTTCTCCCTGGTTGACTGATAGAGAATGCGTTTAAGGTGTCTTACAATAAAAAGTTTTACTTATAATAAATTAAATGTTCAATTCGTGTGTATTTCAGAACCATACATCATACCGACAAATCATTTTTCAAAAGCGTCTGAGAGCAAGATAAAATCAAATTCTACTGATTGTAACATAAACGATGTTCGTAAAGGAAACCTCGATTTAGGAAGCCCTACTATTAAATCAAAGCCTAAAGTCAAAAAATATAATCAACCAATTAATAAAAAAGGAAAGCATCCTGCAAAGATTCTGAAAAAGAAAATATTGAAACAAAAGAGTCTAAATATACTTACGAAAAAAACGTCAGGGGCATCAACAAAATACATTTTTGAATGTTATGCTTGTAGCAAAAAATTTTCAACAAAAGGGATTCTCGCCAAACACATTTCATACAGTCATAAGACGCAAAAGAACCAAAAGAACACCACTGCAGTTCGGACACAAGTTGAACAAACTCCAGTACCACAACTAACGGAAATATTTAATTGTGATATTTGCGAATTTAAAACATCTCAAAAACGTTGCATATTGGCACATCTTAACGCGCACGTCGCTGAACAAGTGTACTGTTGTAATAATTGTGATTATAAAAGTATAAGAAAAGATAATTTGCAAAAGCATATGAAAATACATATTGGAGAAAAACCTTTTTTATGTAATGTTTGTGAATATAAATGTATAGAAAAAAGTAGTTTGCAATCACATATGAAAATACATACTGGAGAAAAATCTTTTTCATGTCCTATCTGTGAATATAAATGTATTCAAAAAAGTGATTTGCAAAGGCATATGAAAATACATACTGGAGAAAAACCTTTTTCATGTAATATCTGTGAATATAAATGTATTCGAAAAAGTACTTTGCAAACACATATGAAAATACATACTGGAGAAAAATCTTTTTCATGTCCTATCTGTGAATATAAATGTATTCAAAAAAGTGATTTGCAAAGGCATATGAAAATACATACTGGAGAAAAACCTTTTTCATGTAATATCTGTGAATATAAATGTATTCAAAAAAGTGTTTTGCAAAGGCATATGAAAATACATACTGGAGAAAAACCTTTTTCATGTAATATCTGTGAATATAAATGTATTACAAAAAGTGATTTGCAAAGGCATATGAAAATACATACTGGAGAAAAACCTTTTTCATGTAATATCTGTGAATATAAATGTATTACAAAAAGGTATTTGCAAAAGCATATGATAATACATACTGGAGAAAAACCTTTTTCATGTAATATCTGTGAATATAAATGTATTACAAAAAGTGATTTGCAAAGGCATATGAAAATACATACTGGAGAAAAACCTTTTTCATGTAATATCTGTGAATATAATTGTATTCGAAAAAGTAGTTTGCAAACACATATGAAAATACATACTGGAGAAAAACCTTTTTCATGTAATATCTGTGAATATAAATGTATAGAAAAAAGGTATTTGCAAAAGCATATGATAATACATACTGGAGAAAAACCTTTTTCATGTAATATCTGTGAACATAAATGTATTAGAAAAGATGTGTTGCAAACACATATGAAAATACATACTGGAGAAAAACCTTTTTTATGTAATATCTGTGAATATCAATGTAATCGAAAAAGTAGTTTGCAAAGGCATATGAAAACACACACTTGAGCAGATCCTGTTTTGTGAGAGATCTGGTAAAATATGTGCAATATTATGTAAACGTGTTTTATATAAATATAAAAGTATACTAGATAAAAATCCATTTGTCATGAGTTCCTTATGTAACTGTAGAACGAGTAGAAAAATCTTTCCGTGTCATATGTGCTAATTGAAACTGCATTTATTCTGAAGAAGCTAATTCAAAAACCAAAGAAGCAACCAAGTGAAATCGAACCTTGAAATATGTACCGAGTGGTTAGTGGAAACAGACTAGACTTCATGATTTTTTTTTTATATTTTATTTAAATCATACTAGTTTGTTTTTATTTATTCGTTTCGACATTTATCGTTCCCGTTACAGCCTATAAAAGTCCGCTGCTGAACATAGGCCTCCCCCACGGATTGCCTCATAGGGGGATATTTGCCATAGTTGCCATGCATGTTGGGTTGGCAACCGTGGTTTTTTATTTTTATTTGTCATTAGGAAGACGCTGCTACCCATCTCCTGGTTTATTTCCTCCGTCGCCTAGATATAATATATAGATATAGATATAAGAATATCCACTAGCCCTTATCATCCCGAGTGTGTCATAGAGGCGACAGAGAGAAACAAATCAGGAGCTGGGCAGCAGCGTCTTCCTAATAAAATAAAAAAAACCGTGTTGCCCACCCGCTTGCCAAGCGTGGCAACTATGGCAAATACCCCCCCTCCCCATTTTTTTTTTTTTATTCTATTATAATTTAAGGGACATTTACCGCTTAGGGTATGTCAGTCCCATCATACCCTAATATACATGACTTACTCATATAACACTACTTAATAACTACATGGGCCATGGATTCGAACAGAACTTTCGCATCGTCGCCATTTGGTTGAGATAGAATATTATGGAATGTGCCTACGTCAGTTCTGTTTAAATTCAAGACCCTTATGAAATTACTTCTAATAGACTCAAATCGAACACATTCCATCAATATATGGTATAGGTCTTCTATAACTCCACAGTCTTCACAATTGGGCGAAGTTGTTTTTCTCATTAGAAATACAAATTTCTTACATGGAACGTGTCCAGATCTGAGTCTATGAGCAGTAGTAACTAATTTCCCCCTCCCCATGAGGCAATCTATGGAGGAGGCCTATGTTCAGCATCAGCAGTTGACTTTATTAGGCTCTCTAACAAGAACACAATAAACGTCGTAACGAAAAAAGGAAATACATTAGCAATCAATTAAATAAAAAAAACATGGTCTGGTCTGTTTCCACTAACCTCCCATTTGTTTCATATTTGAAAGTTTATTTTTTTTGGTTTTTGAATGAGCTTCTTCAGAATAAATGCAGTTTCAATTAGCACATAAGGCACGTAAAGGCTTTTTACTCGGTCTGTTATTCCGTACAAGATGGCTTTTGTAGTCGAGTTATTAATTCATTTCATATTTACACTGTAAAATGTCCAGACTGAATTCGGAGTGAAACTGAAACATGAAACTCCTGCCGTGGCAGCTAACTATAAATTAAAGTGAAAGACATTTACATCACTACTTTTGTTTTTTTTAATCTTAGGTTTACTTTGATCTTATAGATTATCTTATGCTAATGAAGGAAATGATTTTGTTATTTATTTTAACGTGTGGACATTGCTTTTATTAGTTGTACCTTGACTTGTACTAAAAAACTTTACAGTTTAAGTACTGTAAGGCAGTTTTCTTGCAGAGGCTTTGTTTAGTTAGGTTTTGTTGTAAAGTGAAATGTATCTTCACGATTGTTTGAACTTTTTGTTAAATTCTATATAAGTCAAAGACTTCTTTGTTTATTATTAGAGCGGCAATTCAGAATAAAAACCGTGTGACAGCTGTGGATCACGCGGGCGGGTAGCCGGCACGGTAAATATGGCACGCGGTTATATTTTCATTTACGACAGTTACTGCTTTTAGGCAAATATGTTACACACTTATATGAAATAAACTTCAAATCACGTTGACAAACTGCGCACATAAATAATGACAGCGTATTCTTAGTCACATTAAACAAAGTCAGTGTTAGATTGTCGAAAACAACGATCGCAGTTTACAAAACAAAGAACTAGTCTTCTCTCCCGCTCGCAGTCGACTAAAGCAGTTACGGAGAATTAAGCATTAAGTCCGCACTTTGTATTCTTTTGTTTTAGGGATTCAATAAATAATAAATAAATAAAAATAGCGAACAAACGCACATCTGTTATTGAATGCTAGTGGCACGCCCAGGCTTCGCTTCGGTGTTGCCATTTATTTCATCATCGAGATTTAAGAATAGAATATTTTTTATTCAATATACATTACATGTGTAATTCTTATTGAAAGTCATTTTTTACTTTACCACTGGTTCGAAAAAACCCTCTGTCCTGTGAAAAACCAGCAAGAAACCCAGCGGGACTTTTTTTTAAAATAAATTTTACAATATAAATGATTACGAACTATTTACAAAATTTATTTTAGAAACTGCTTGGAAGCCATCACCTCATTCCCAGGGGTTATTATCAACCATGTATTCATTTATACTATAATAACCCTTTTTATACAGTTTCAGCTTAATAAAACATTTAAACTTGGTAATAGAGAGAACCTGTACACTTTCCGGGACCTTGTTGTAATAGCGTATACATTGCCCCAAGAATGAATTATTGACTCCGTGGAGTCGAGAAACTGGTATCACTAGCTTGTGTTTGTTCCTAGTGTTTACAGAATGTATATCACTTCTTTTACTAAAACTATCTTTGTTTTTGTGAACATACATTAAATTTTCGTAAATATACTGAGAGGCTAAAGTTAATATATTAATTTCTTTAAATTTATCTCTAAGGGACTCTCTCGGTTTTAGATTGTAAATAGCTCTAATGGCCCTCTTCTGTAAAACAAAAATAGTTTCTGAATCAGCCGCATTTCCCCATAGCAAAATCCCATAAGACATTATGCTATGAAAATAACTAAAATAAACTAATCTAGCTGTCTCGACACTAGTGAGATCTCTAATCTTTTTTACAGCATAGGCTGCAGAACTTAGTCTGCTTCCTAATTTGGTTATATGGGGGCCCCACTGGAGCTTTGCGTCAAGAGTGATGCCAAGAAAAACAGTGGATACAACAGGGCTCAATTCCTCCCCATTTAAAAACACATTGGTATTAAGATTTTGAACATTCGTTGTTTTAAATTTAACACAATTAGTTTTATTTCCGTTCAAATGCAGATTATTAACGTTAAACCAATGCACTAATTTATAGATTTCACAATCACTATGTAACAACGCGTGACAATTTGCGGAGTGAGGGGATTTTTTTTAATAATAATTATTATTTTATATTATAACATGTACCTACTTATTTATTTGGGTGATAAATGTTAATTTAAAATAATAATCATATTTTTCAGCTTGACGATTCATCCATGATAGATATTCATGGTCCTACTAACCTATCTTTACCATCAGAAGAAGTTGCTATGGAAATTGAAATAGAAAGTACTATGGTAACTTTATTCTTGATCAGTCTATTTTATGGAAATTGATTCTTGTAGATGATGTGTGTGTAGCCGTTTATATACATACTTAAACATTTTTATCTTTAATGCAGTATAGATATTTTTATATGTATTTATTATTTACGGTAAGTATTTACTACTTACCCTAAATAATAAAAATAATAAATATCTTTATACATATAATACAAATATTTATACTATATTAACATTATAAAGCTGAAGAGTTTGCTTGTAGCGCGTTCAAGCTAATATCTGAAACTACTTATCCCCATTCAATCAATAATTCTTTCACTAATAGGAAGCTACAATATGCCTGAGTGCTATAGGCTTTTAATAAAAACGAGCGAAGCCGTAGGCAACAGCTAGTTTATTATGAATACTGTAATATTCTTTATTATATTTCAGACACGTATACGTGGTAGAGCCATGCTGCAGCTATATTAGTAGTATAGTTGTAGCACGTATGGGTCGGCTCGACCGGGGAAGGACCACGCTCTCTCACAGAATACCAGCGTAAAATGGCAGCTTGACATTGCTGTGTTTCGTATGTATATATATTCCATCTTAGTCCTCACGTGTAACAACGCATCTGCATTTGATTCGCAAACGAGGATAGATGTAGATGTCTATGGGCCACAGCAACTACTTACCATCAGGTGGACTGTGTGCTCGCTTGTCACCCTATACTATAAAAAAAGACACAAGATATACCTATGGCAGTACCGGAAGTTGAGATAACTCCACGTAAAAAGAAGTTAATTAAGAAATTGGAAAGACGTTATTACGCGATAATATGAGGAAGATGCTTTAAGATAAAAGACCTGGCGTTTGTAAAAAAAAAGTTGCTGACCAATCTAGTGTAATTGAGGAATTAAAAACTCGATCTTTAATCAACCAAGAAACGGCTGACTTGCTGTTATCGATCGATACAACCAATCGAGATTTCCTAAAAAAGTTTCTATGTAAAATGAAAATACGTTATTTTAACTTTTATTCAATACATTGATCAAAGGAATGATTAGTTTACCCTTTAGTCCTAAGTACAATTTTGTATGTATACTTTTGACAATTTAGTTTAATTAAACTATACTTAATCAATGTGGTTGTTTTATTATAATATCTATAAAATCCAATGACAATATAACCACTTGACTGCGCATACAGTGCTCCGACGCTCGAAAACTATTAGTATTTTGTCGCCTATGTATAGGCTACGGCTATTGCTATTGTATCTTCTAAGAAATTTCACTGATGGTTAAACTACCGCCATCTAGTCATTGATTTATGAAACACTTAATACTTTTTTTATTTATAGCGGCTCCGTAATCTTGCATTTTTAGCTGCTTTACGTAAATCAATCAAGATAGTGTGGCCGCCACAAAAAAATCAAGCATTATCAGTAATAATTCTAATGATAGGTGTAAAGGAAATTGTAAAAAGGAAATCATGTGTTATTAAGCAAATTATTGTTATATGTTATTGCATATATTAACTACATT